CTCTCTCTCTCTCTCTCTCTCTCTCTCTCTCTCTCTCTCTCTCTCTCTCTCTCTTCAGAGGTACCTGGCACAAGGTCGTGACCAGGTGCCTTTGCTCTCATACCAGCCACGGCCTATACTTCACTACCACCGTGCTGCTACCATCATCCTCACTATYAGYGTGTCRCCCRACAGCATTTCAGCCCAAGCCAAACACTCGTGCCCTCTCYGCTGCCGGCCTGTTCTSTTTATAGTYGGTCTTACTGCCCCTGCTACCCTCGGTCCCCSTYGTTCCACTTCTTGCTTTCCAGGARCCCGCCCGCATCTGGGCGCGAAGTTCATTATTCTAGCGGGGCTTGGCTCCGAGTATGCTCAGGTTCCTGCCGCCCGTTCTGCACAGCCCGCTATTGCACGGCAAGCCTGTTGGCCAGACCGTACTACTTTTCCCTGTATCGTGCCAATTTTAACGGATGTCCCGACGGACCATACCCCGGGCAGCGACCCAGGGTCGTCGGGACTACTGTCTCGAACAGCTGCTCCATCCGGACCGGGACACGGGTCTGCACTTCAACGGTTCATAGGTGTTTCCACTTAGCTAGGTAGCTGGTCTTTACTGCAGGTCCCGACACAGGTATTGGGCCTCGTCCCAAAAAAATAAAAATAAAAATAGGAAAAAATAAAAATAAGGAAAAAGATAAATAAATATATATATATATATATATATATATATATATATATATATATATATATATATATATATATATATATATATATATATATATATATAAACTTGGAGATAGAAAAAATGACAAACAGAAAACGGATGGGGGAGGAGGACCCTTGGCACTTGGCCCTACCCCACGGGCCCGCCGCCGGACTCCCCAACAAAACCAAAAAAGGATAGTCCCGCAGGACCCTCAACCCCTCGGTATGCTCCAAAGCACTCCTCTGCTCCGTCGCACGCTGCTGGCCTCGATCCCGGGATCCGCTTGGTGCAAGGTTCAATGCCGTAACCTATAGGGCTAAGCCCCAACTTGAACGTAACAGGCGCAGTCCTACTCATAAAGAGTAAGGACTGCCTGTCCGGGCCAGCAAGCAGCACCTCAGGCCGCCCCCCTTACTTACCGTTCGCGTCCAGGGGCCCGTAGGCACCCCGACGCGGCTTTGGAGGCCACGGTCCCGTCATGCTTGCCGGGCATGTTGCCACATCACGCTGCGGCTACGGCCGGGCCCTCCTACTCCCTCACTTTCACCGGGAATTGTTCGACCCACCACCCTTGGGCCGAAAAGTACCCCAACTTCTACTCACTCTGTCCCGACCTACGCCGCCCTAGCTAAAGCTCGCCACGGCTCCCACTGTCGGCAGCATGTGGTTTACCGGGTCCCTGCGAATTTTTACATGGCGCGGCCCTGAACCGTCGGCCCCCAGTAAGTCAGACAACGCCCCCCTCTTGATCACCGCCTTACCTAGTCAACTTTGCGTCGTCCGACACTTCGTCCGTGTGTGTGAGTGTGCGACCGCCGCAGAAAGTCTAGCTTAACCCTAATTTATCCTACCGGCGTCTCATGGTCTTCCTCAACCCGGACTCAGTCAAGCTAACGCGTGCCCACGAAGTGCACGCTCACACACTCCCTAACCAATACAAATGGGACGCGCCCTTTGATAGCGTCAGGCGCATTCTTCCGGTGAGCTGCAAAAACGTGCCCAAATGCCCTTGTAAGGGTATTCGGGCCGACAGCGCATTCTTACGCTTCCCGCCCCCGGCAACACTGCAAGCGTTCATGTCGGAGTCCTTGCAGAAGATCTTTCTTCAGGGCAACCGTCACCACCGCCCTCACTTTCAACAGACTCCCCACCACCCGCTCCTCTCCTGGGCAGTTGCACCCCGTCCGGACTGCCGGTGTCGGCGATGTTGGGAGGGAAAATAGTATGGTTCCCCAACATGCCGGAGTGGATCTCGTTGTACAGCACCCTCTCCATCCGGAACTTAAAGTTGTGCTCCTTCCTTTCGTCGTTGGACAACTTGAAGAAATCTAGCCGCCCGCTCGCGTTCTGAATCCTCTGTATCTTCTTGTAGTTTTGGAACAAATTGTCCGATTTCTTCATGCAGTCGTCTGCGTCTTTAGGGCTCCCACCGTTCGCCATGCGCTTCGCAATGTCGACCCACTTCCATTCCTTCGTCCGCATCCGGCCGTAATTGTGGCCCAACCCAGCGAGTTGCATCTCTTGCTCCCGCTTGCATCTGACGAGGAGCATCTGCTCGTCCGTCGACCAGTACGTCGCAGACTTCCCTCCGTCGTCGGTGACGCCACCTCTGCCGTCACGGCCAACGGATCGACCACGGCCACCACGGTTGCTGCGTCCAATACCCCTACCACCCGTCTTCCCCACAGGCCGAACAACATTGTCGTCGTCGTCGTCCCCCGCTTCGACTTCCTCCCTGAATCCGTCGGCGGCATCGTCACCGCCACAGCCATCGTCGTCGCCGGCATCGTTGTGTGCCCGCATGTTCGACACGCCTCGAGTGATGTTCTCCACACTGGTTCCTAAACCGCCGGTGGTCTGCAGGCGCCCTCGTCCCTCCCTTCGGGTGGCGCGGCCGTTGTTCGGTTCAACATTGACGAGCGTGCACCGCTGGTGCGCAAGGACGCTGCTGCGGCAGCAGTGCGCACGTCCCAGTTATCCGTCAATCGTTCCCCGGACGGCGCACCCGATACATGCTTCCGGGCTGGGCGAAGACCCGACACCACCAACGACGGACGCGCCGCCACGTACTGTGGAAGGTCCCATCTGCTCCCTTCGAGGCTGCTGCAGGCCACGTGCGGAAGCATGGGCGGCGGTGATGAACGTGCGGCTCGCCTCCCTGGCACCGCCAGAACTCAAGCCGATCCGGAGATCAACTCCCCCGTCGTCGTCGTCTCCCAACCCTTGCTGCAGGAGTGACGTGTACTCGCCTCGTTCGTTGCTCGCCGACCCGTCTACGAGCACCGTCTGCGACAACAACTGCGTCGACCCGCTGCCGAGAGGAAACGTTGGAAGTTCTTCCCCCTCCGGCTCCTCGTTCGAGGGAGGCAGCGGCGTCTCCCACGACGGCAGATGGCTGTACATGGACGGGTCGTACCGCCGTGAAGGCTCCGTCGTCGCAGGTCTTCTTCCGCCCTCAGCTGCAGGCAGAATAGCGCGTGCCTTCATGCCCGCCATGGGACGTTCCTCTTGAAGCACAACGCGTTTCGTCGACGCCCTGCGCTTTCGACGTTGCTTCCACGGCCGGCACGACAAGCACACGTGGAGGAAGACGACAAAGAGGAAGACGACCACCACGAGCAGCAGCAGAGGCAATCTCCTTTGCAAATCTGCCATGAATTCGACGTCGACAGGCGACCTTGCACGTGACGTCCTGCTGAACTTTCTCCTTGCATGCCCGCGGACAAGGCCGCTGGACCTTCATATGCCGTCGACCACCAGCGAAGACGACAAACGTTGGCGCCTCCGATTCAAAAACTGACCGTTGGCGCCACACCGCCTCCGTGTGTCGTCGTGCAGACGTCTGGGAACTCCTCCGTTGCCTGCATCGGAGCCAACGGTCTGCAACGGCCGCCCGCCTGGCCATGCTTCGCCCCGCCTGCTCCACCCCACCGTCCAACGGCTACCGGTGGGGGCCGTTGCCGTCGTCGACCGCCAGAAAACCTCCGATGTCCGCCCACCGGCCCGATGGACCTCTCTTGGACCAGCTCCTCCATGTCGACGATGCCATTCTCACGACGCGACGACTCCGTGAAATGCGGGAATCCTAAATTTTTCAGTAGGTCCGTGGCTGCTGGAAAATTTAGGGAATCCTAAATCTTTTAGGACGAGTCCTAACGCCGTTTTCACATTTTCGATTCCCGCGTCCCATTTAGGACTGCGTGCAACCAAGACGCAATCCTAAAAACAGGAACTTTTAGGAGTGTCTAACGAGCCCCTAAATAGAGGAAAGTATCAACCTTTTTCTACCGTATCCCGTCAGAACCTCGGGGTAACATTGGTCAGATACCGTCAGAACCTCGCGGTAACATTGGTCAGATACAGATTAAAAAAAGGAGCTATGCACGCAACCATGCTGACTGAAGCCTGGAGGAAACCTGCCAGAGCGGAGCTGATGTCTACACTCTGAAGGTGACGCACTTCGTCTATGCGAGCACTCACACTAGGACTTTTTCTGGGCGTGATTGCTGGCAGGTCTATCCACCTTTGAACATGACTGCGGTCAGATACATTTAAGAAAGTGCTCGTGTGAGTATGCGGTCTGTCGCGCCATGCACTCCCCTCTCCCTTCCCGGTAGTGTCGCAACATCGCTTCACCGCAACGCTCACGTCCCACGCAAGTGCCTCACGCACCAGCCGTGAAGAGAGCTGTACAGCCGTCGTAGTAATCAATCAACGAGCACGGCCTTGCCGGAGAGTTGAGCCTTTTTTTTTTTTTTTTTTTTGTTGAGCTTTTTTCATCCGTGCTCACTTCTGTTTTTTTTTTTTGCAATCTAAGAACAATGATAACATATACAAATTCTTTTTTTGTCGTTCTCTTTTTTTTTTTCCTTCAATAATAATGCATTACTTTAAATCCTCTCTCGATTAGTGCGTGTCGTTTTCTGGGCAGGGCGCCGTGGTAATTAATCTTTTCTTTGTATCGCTCCACTTGTAATGGATGACCTTTTCTCACGGCCGTTAAAGCTCACAGTTTAGTATAGAAATTATAAATAATCATCATCATAAATAAATAATAAATTCATGAATAACAAATCATAAATAATACGTACATGACTTAACATAAGGGGTTATCGTAAATTGCGATATGATTTCAAAAGATATGTATGGCCCCAGGGCAGATTCAAAAGATATGGCCCTCGTGAACTTAAACTTGGCACGGTTCAGAGAAGAGGGAAACAGGATCTCCTCCGCCTGCAGGGATTCAAAAGATATGGATGGGCCCCGTGCACGAAGCAAAGGAAGCGAAGTTGACATGCAAGTCGAAATGCATACATCCAACGCACACCAAAGCAGACATCAAGTGCACACAGAGAACCGTAGAAGTCACAGCATAGATGACACGTCGGATCGACTGCTGCAAGCATTAGCCGCGGAACACAATCACCCCCGTGCACGCAAGGATGAAAAGCACAAATTTAGAAATGATTTGTCAAATTAAAAGAGAAACGAAGAAAGAAGAAAGAAGAAAGAAAAAAAAGAAAATGGAGAAAAAAAAGTTGATTAAAGACGAAACGGTCCCTGATTGGTGGTAATCGAGGTGTGAAGGGTGATTGGCAGGAAATTAGGGTCTATTTTGTCTTTTGCGTTCTTTTCTTCTACTTCCTTTTGCTTTTCACTTAAGTTGTTTTCCACTGTGCGAACATACAGGAGGAAGGGGAGGTGGTAGACAGGGAGGACAGTGAAATGGAGGGTAGACAGGGAGTTCATCAGTGAAGTGGAGGGTAGACAGGGAGGACAGTGAAGTGGAGGGTAGACGGGGATTTGCGGCTTGTTTTGCAGACGCTTTCCTTCATATTGCCCGGACGTTCTTCCCTGCCTTTCCTCCTGGCCCCCAACCCCACCCCAACTTAAAGAAAAAGGACAGACACACACACACACACACACACAGAGACACACACAGACACACACACACACACACACACACAGAGAGAGAGAGAGA